ATGGATTATGCTTCTGACAAAGCAACCTAAACAAAAGAAAAACAAAAGATTTAATTAAAAGTCAAATTCTTAATCCTGTAACAGTGATATTCCTTATCTCCATGCAGCTGGCATGTCTGTCCTTGCCTTTTCAAAGAACCTTGAAAAGTCTGACTTGGAAAGGAAATCGAAATAAGTCTGAAGGTGCTTTGTATTTAGCATGATTAATCTAATGGTTATATGTATTTAAAAAAATGTATTAAAAAACCAGCTTATGCTACAAAATATCCTTATGATCAAAGGTGCCAACACTAGCTTTCTAATTCACAACTAAATATATTCTTATATAACCCTTTAAGCAAAACGCAGACCTCCAATGTAGTACTGAATAACCACTATTCCAACAGCTTTGTCATTGATTTTGCTTAATTCTGATAACAACCATTAGAATTAAGTGTCGTGTTTTATTCAAAATTAAGTCTCTTATGATAAGGGATAATTTTAAGATATTCAATGCTATCTATTCAATGTTGCATACAAAACAACATAATGTCACAAGTGTGGCAGAAGAATTGCATTATAGTCTTTACTGAACTGCAAGTCATAAACCACTTTTGTAGGCGAGCAGCCTAAGTTTGAGGATCTACAAAGCACGTGTTTTACAGCACCCTTCTGTATTGTTCACAATGATGTATCTGTGTATCTTCAGGAGGGAATTAAATTTACATCGCGAGATCAGAACCAGCAGCCTGTACCAACTATGTAAAAAAAGAGGTTTTCTTTGTTTGCTTATCAGAGTCAACTTTTTTTTGGTACCCATACTTACTTTTTCAGAGCAAAAGTCTGTATTGCTTTGCCTCAGTTTGCTTGGTCTGCCTTTAATAACTGCATAGCAGAACATTGTAATCACCATCACAAAAAGAAAGTAACTGGTATGCATGAGATGTAGGTTTATTAGAGAGCGATCATCCTGCACAGAGAATTAAAACCATTTACTCACAAGGCACTGATAGTTGGTACTTTATATTAAAGCAATAATTAACAGATTAGCACAGAAATTACCTCATGAATCAACCTTCTCCCTCTTTAGGAAACTAGCATAGTAATGAAAGCGATCCCCAGTTCTGGCACATAAAGAGCCAAAGCGTTCCTCGCGTTAGAAAACGGTACTAGAGATCTCTTTCCTTATAACGGCTGTGCCTTTTGTCAAATTATTTCAAAATATAAATCTTACTTATTAAAGTTGTGAGGCACATGGAGATTACATGGAGCCCATCACTCCCACCAGGGGTAAAGCCTACCCAACCCTGGCTCAGTCCCTGCGCTACATAATAAACCAGCACTGAACATGACTGTTTAAGACATGAACAGAACCATGTTCTGTTAAACCCGAGCGTTTATTCAGCATAACGTATAAAAGCACAGTGGCACTTACATCTGGAACTATAACAGTTAGTTTGGGATTTAAAGCATGATACACTTTTCCAATTGCTCCTTTGTAACACCAGAAAGGGTTATAATCTTGTGCATATTTTGTGTTAGAGTCCCTGGCTGTAGTAAAGATCTTGTACCAAAGTGTAGCATTGCTGTATGTTTCAGGAACACAGTGTGGTGGCTGACTGCAGAAAAACAGAAATAATTAGCACGCCAATTGCCATTCTCCATGTTCAGTAAGGCTAACTCTCAGAACTGAGTCAAGCCCAGTCTTCTCAACAGCAGCATAAAATGCAATTTTATTTTGGACCTTCCAAAACAGCAAAAAATAAAGCTTAACTAAAGGCAGGTATAACAACATATGATTCCTATAGCAACATCAGAATTTTACTGCTTGTTGTAAATGTAAACCAACACCCCCCAACTTAATTCGAAAAATGCTAGTTTTCGTGCAGTTTGTGAATCTATCCGAGGGTTATCCAGAATATCCTGAATAGTGTCAGAGAGTCTAGAGAAGACAAAAGGAAACTATTTTCATGAAAGGTCTGTACTTTCTGGGGTTTGGTAGCAAAGCAGCATCCTGTTTGTGCAGGGAAGAGGATAAGACAAGCCTTAGCTTGCACACAAGGTAGTGAAACTAAATGATAGGGTATCTTTCTTAAACATTCACTGATTCTGTTGTTCCTAGTGAAGTTTAAATCACAGGTCGCATGCTGACAGGCAGGGAAGGCTGCAGTTCAAAACATCCACAGAAAAATCTAGCGTTGCTAAAAGACAGCAAACGTTTCAAGATCGGGTTTTCACTGGAGTGAAAAGGAAAGCAGGTACACAAAGTCAACAGTAACATTCACCAGGAAGTGGGAACCTCAGAGAGCCACCTGAGGAATTAAAAACAGCAGCGTTCTCACCCAAATTAATCAGTTTATGAAAGAGTGGTTAGAAGTGTACTTACACTGTGACAGGAAATACACTGCTGGCCGCCGTCACAGTCATGCAGGTCGTGAACACAACCTGCTCGCAGTGACCGTGGAGAACACAGTCGTCTGAATTCCAAGCAGCCGGCAGGGTGAATGTAATATTTATCTCCTCATGGGATTCTCTGCCTTTTAGAAAAAGAGAAGGAAAACTGTTTTTTGTTCACAGAAGTATTTGAGCAACAGTCAGTAGGAAAAGGAGAATGCAAAACCGACTAAGGCAGCAACTATCAGCCTTAATCTGCGCCTTTGCAGTCACCCAGTATCTTTACTACTAATGAAGAGAACAAAAAAAGAAAGTTTAAAAAAAAAAAAAAAAAAAGAGACTGCTGGTCTTTCTAATCTCTCCTGTCCCCAAAATAAGCAGAATCATTAGTCTCCTTTTAAAAAGGAAAAACTCACTATATATAAATGAATTCATGTATGCTCAAGGAACTTTATTAGAAACAAAACAAAACAAAAAACCCCAGATCTTTAGCCTTTCCCCTCCCAAAGACTTGGTTCAACACATGCTTTTTCTGAAGTTTACTTTTCATATTGGAGATATTCATACAGACATAACTACGGAAAGGTGGCAGCAGATACTGAACTGCAGATTAAGTAGTGAACTTCATGTGGATAAAGTCATATTCATACTGAAAATTAAATTTGGTCAACTTGAAATGGAGCCTGCGTTTGATAGCTCATGCAGCAGTAAAAAAATAACAACAGTAAATTACAGTAATACATACTTACAGGTACAGCAAACGCCTCTTACAGATCTCAGGTTCAAGACACCGTCAAGCATTATTGCAACATGCAACCCTGGCTAAAAGCTAAACGAGGTTCATGAGGTTCTATCAGCTATTTCTGCTCAATCTCTACAACTTATTCTCCTGTCAAAACTTAATGGCACGGCAGCGAAATAACACCACGGAAATGTTAACCATCTTACTCGCTGTTTGCAATGCTGAAGTTTGTTCATGCATGTATTTGCATTTTATTTTATCTTTTTAGACAATATGCCACTTGATTTCTATTGTATATACATTAATGCATTTAATACTTGACTGAACTACTTGAAAATATATCAGGATAGAACTGTCTAAATATTTACTGGTGGAGCTCTTCCTGATCAAAACGTTGTTGACTCAAAAATTATCTTCCGCTGTCATGAGGCTGATCCTTTAACTCCACAAAGCCTAATCCTGGTAGACCTGCAGGTTCTTTTCCATTCTGAACACACGGAAAAGTTTTTTCTAGCAAACAAATGCGGGACTTTATATAGGAATATACTACTCTGATAACACATATACATTCTAAGCAAAAGACTTATCACACTAGTAGAAAGCTGGAAAGTTTTTATTTCTTTTCCTAAACAATTTGACTACATAGCTACCATACAACCTTACAAAAATCAAGTTCTGCATACCTGAGAGTCCAATTTGGTGTCCAAAAACTGTGGAGCTTAGATGTGTGACATTGCGAGAATACCCACCAAATGGTCTGAGCGGGTCCAGTGTCAGAGTGATTGTAACAGAGATGTTTATCGGACCAGAGTCCTCAAGAGTCTGTGGAGACTGTGTAGAGGACCTCGCTTGTCCACTAGTCACTGTACTTTCTGGAGTTGTGGTATCATTGATGAGATGCTTTAAGGTTTCATTCTCAGATATACAGAAGTCCAAATCATTAAATCTCAGGAGGAAGGTATTCCAGTCCTTAAAACAGGAGGAAAAAAAAAAGAAAAGAAAAGAAAAAAAAAGTGAAGATTTACGCCAGATTAGTGAGTTAACTTTTGGCTGCAACTTCTTTAGAGCAGTGCAACCTTAATAACTATTTTTCAGCCTGTAGTTCCAAGCCATTTAACATCAATTAAATGGCTCATGAAGCAAGCACAAATACCATCATGGCTATTGCAACAATGGGATAAGTTGTTTACAAAAATCAAAGTGTTCAGTCCCAGCCACTACCTGACCACTGCTTAGCACAGCAAATGATACCGTCATTTAAACTACTGAAGGACTATAAAATTAGAGGTAAGTATTAACGAAGACAATATCCCATAAGACACTGTTGCACTCCCATAAAAGGGTTCTTGAGGGGAAAAAAAAAAGAACTCATTAACCTTTAGCATGTTTTTCAAATAAATATTCCCATTGTTAAGTTCAGGAACTTTTTGTACCGTACCTCTGTCATTTCTGGTGACTTGATCTCCTTGATTTTAAAGAAATAACCCAGTGTCAGAAAAGCTATTGCCATAGCGCTTACACTGATCATAAAGACCACAAGTGGAGGTCGACTGCTGATGTAAACCTTCAGGTTCTCCAACAGGTTTATGTTGAACATTATTCTGATCGTTCACCTGAAAATAAAGTATATTACAACAGAGTGATTGGGCTGTATGCGTTATTGAGGGTAGTGGTGGGGAGGAATCGCGTTAAGACAGAAATTTGACCAAAAAAATGGAATCATATATTAAAAACAAGGCTCAATTACACAATTCTGTCAGTGCTGTTCAATGAACATGGACTCAGCATGCCTCAAATAAAGCACAAATCAAATCATGCTCAACGTCACTTTCTCAATTCCTGAAATTGCCAGCTAGGAGCAGATTTAAAAAATTGAAGACAACTTCTAGCACAGTCAAATGTAAATACAAGCCATCACTGACAAGCAATATGGACAGTAAAATCAGCCTTTTTCTTTCCCTGCTTTCTTAGGCAGAATATACACAGCTATATTTGAATTCTGGCAACATCTGGATTCACCACATTACAGTGCAAATGGAGCTGCAATGCAGCCCACAGATCAAAGTCTGTGCATCCCTGTACACACTTTCAAAACCGAGGCTAAGGCCTTAAAGATCTCCCTTTCCCCCCACTTCACCCTCAAACAACCGGACCTTCAATGTGGGATCTGGGAAGCAGCCCAGGCTCATTTTAGGTGTCTACATCAAGAAATCTGCAGTCAGAAACACCTGGCAATTGCATTAGCGGGGAGGCCAGAAGATGGGCCAACTGGCTCCTTTCTTTGATTCTTGCCGGATCAAGAGAACTTCTGGCAGAGTCAGGAAACAAGGAGAGGACTCCCCACAGGCTGAGGAAATGTATGGAGTCAATAATTTTTGTCCAAAGAAAAGTTATATTTAGTCTTTCCGATTCCCCTTCTGAATTTCCTTTTCATTTACAGAGTGGAAAGACCAGAATAAAGTTTGCTGAAACAGCCTCCCATCTCCACCCACAATAAAAAGCAAACAGTCAAGTGTTAAAGGGCAGCCTCCGTGCAACTACTTCAGAAGCTCTGCAAGGAGGCAATGTCAAGCAAACCTTTTACCTTTGTTTCACCTGCAGTCCTGCAAAAAGGCTTTTAACCCCAGCTAAACCGGAAGGACAGTAACTGTTGCTAGAAACGCATTGCTTGCCCTCCACGTTTATAGGAAATGGCATTAAGACCAGTATCTCAAGAATTCAGCAGTGCAACGGCTAATGTCTGGACACGCAGATGGCTCTTCTGATAATTTTTAATTAAATCAGGGACTCTGCTCCCGGCAGGCGTGCGTGACTCTCGTCAACTCTTACTAGAAGCACGTCGTACGCAACCCAGAGGTAGCACGGCTGAAGCCACGCTAGTCTAAGGATGCAAGAGGGGCAGGTTTTGGCGGGGGGCGGAAGCAGAGAGAGATCTTTCGTCTGCTCTACTGATTTAAAAAAGCAAGAGAAAGGAAAAGGATAAGCTTTCAGACAAAGTTTTTTCCAGACCCCACAACGTACAATGATCGCAGCTTTCTTTGGCACGTTCTTCATATTTTACTGACAGAAATGCTTCAGTTAATCCTTTCCTGAAGGCAGGAAGAGCACCAAAACCTGCAAACCTGCTTCAGAGAGGAGAAAAGCAGCTCGGAGAGGAGAGACCTGAAGTCCTGCAGCAAGGACACAGCACGGAGCCCGGCACACCGGCCTCCCCTCCTCCGCCGGGCTCTCCCCGGCGCGGACGTGGCCTGGGTGTCCTGTTTTGTGCCATTAACCAACTGTCACCCAATCCGCAGAGCCCAGGAAAGCCACCAACTTTTCACAAGCAGTAATCGCTGTCTGCTGCAAACACCTCCTTACAAACCACACCGCGCGTCCGAGGGCGAAAAGCACGGGGCAGCGAGCGGGCGACGGAGAAGAGAGGAAAGAAAAGGCAAGGGGTAAGGACACAAGCGCATCTTACCCGAACTTCTCTCTCTGTCAAAGATCAGTTATGCTGCTGCCAAAAATAGCCAGAAAAGGTGTCAGAAAAAGGCAGGACAGAGAGGGCAAGGGAGAGGTGCTGCGGGCAAGAAACATGCTGGGTACGATCCTCGCTTCTCCGAGCTCTGCCTCCCGTCTCGTCACCGGCAGCAAAGTTTCTGAAACGAGCCCCAGTTAAAAAAAATCCCAAACACCCCATCTAGAAACACTGGAGACACATGCTGAGGTGGAGATAGATCAAAAGAAACCAAAAGCGGAGTCGCGTTCAGCGTCGTCCTCTGAGCTCCCTTCGGGGAAGGCCACCACAGACGCAGGCGTCGTTACCGCGTTTAACCCAAGCCGAGCGCCAGCCGGAGGGCGCGCAGCACCGCGATCCCTTCTCAGGGGGACTTCCCACAGCCCCGCTGGCGTTCTTGTTTGCCACAGGGTTTTAAATCTGCCATAAACGGTGATGCGCGGAAAAGCACATATACAACAAATATTTGGGTTAATATTTTTATGTAAGAGATCGCCAGCTGTAAAGCGCTTGTTGCTTAATATGCTCCTGTAACTCGACAGCTTAGAAAGCAATTAGAAAATGCTATAAGCTGCAATTTCCAAAGGGTAATACGCCTTCTGAGCATTTGTGAGAGAAAAGGGAACAACCGTGGATTTTAATACCAGAGCCGACACGACAGCAGCAATTCCACACGGTTAGAGCAAACCGGTACTAAGGGGGGGACGTTCCCACACTGCTGCCTGAAGAACTACTGATTTTTATGAAATAAAGTGCTTAAGCACCACTATTTGCCAACGAGCTCGTGCAACAGATCAGTGCACAGAAATCAAAACATACATCCCCACAACATTTTAGGGGTTTCCTCACACTGAAACGCCTCCTTTCTGTTACGGCCCATTAGATATATAACAATCTATATTCTTCTACCAGCTCTGGTTGTAACTAACAGTTTCCTCTGTGTAAATAAACACACTTCAGAACATAACTTATACTTTTATTTCTTTTTCCCACAGACAAAAAAGGGAACAGAACGCTCTTACCTCGCGGCAGGTCAGGAAAGCTCGATCAGATTTCACTGTTTAGTTAAATAAATAACGTAGAAAGAGGCTCTAACGACTGTCATCTGCCTCTCTCCACTCTGGCCAAGCCTTTTAATACTTACGCAATAAATATGTCCACAATCAACCCAGTAACTAGCTCAAGCACAACAGGATGAATGAAAACTGCCAGCCTGGAACATTGGCCAACTCCTAAGGAATTTCTCCTGGTATCGAGGTGTCTACATCAAGACAAAAAGCTACGTTCAAACGGAGTCACCGCTCAAGGTACTCATCAGGAAACACCAGACAAGCTCTGCAAGGATATTGGGCTCATAAATCAAGCACTTCAGACTCAGGAAATATTGTTAGGCGGTTAAAAAGATAAATATCAAAAAGGATGGAAACACACAACGGTTACTATGTCAGCATCTCAAGTAAACACAGCATTCATTAGCCATCTAAAAAGTAATGAAATAGTCACTTATTCTACAGTTCAGGAGGATTTTCCTCCATGACGGCTCGAGACCAAACATGGCAACCTCAAAAAAGCAACACTTTCAATCCTTCCAGATTTCGATATGAAAAGGGGTATAAAAAATTGTAACTTTTGAAATAGTCCTGTGAGTTTGTCCAAGAATAACTTACAAATAAGGAAAATAATGAAGTCTACTCCAGAGATCAGAAAGTCAAAGAAATGAGTCACAGCAGAAGTATTAAATTCCTATTTCTGGGGCTTAGTATCAAGGAATTGAATTCATAACAACAATAAAAAGTGTATGTTGCACTACAGTAGGCATTAACAACAAAATTGCAGTTGCTAAAAGGAAAAACAAAATATGAATTTTAAAGAGATTAAAGGTATTGCATATTTTTTACGTGACGTCTTTGCCATAATGTCACCTACCATCTACCTGCTAGACAGCTTGAAATCTCAGCCATTTCCTCATAAACATTTCCCCTTCTCGTTGTGCATGTAAGACAGCCAAAGTCTACAGGAGAAAAAACATTTTTGTTTTCTAAATTTAACAAAAAAACCCCCACTAAAATATCTTAATGAAGAAAATCACGGGCAGAAGACAAGGGTAGCAGGCCAGCGCTAACCCATCCGAGCAGCGTTCCATTAAGACCTCACCTCTTTTCTAAGCCTGAACATCTGGTTGCTCATAGCAGCATTTCATCTCAACTGTCCAGTTCAGCTTATTTTTATCAACTCTGTTTTCAAAGACGCACCACAACTAGTGGTAAAACGGGGGTTAGGAAACGGGTCAGATCAGGGTTAATCACTCTGAATGAAAATAGTGTTGCTTGCCAGAAAAACACTCATAAGCACAAATCAAGTGAACTGCGATTCTCTGAGCAAACCATCCATAAATAACATGAAAACAAAGAAATGGTGTTAATCTCAAAACTAAACTGCCTCTCATTTTAAAACAGTAAATCGTAGCAGGTACCAAAAGTATCCTTAATTAAATTCGCTTTTTCTTTTCAAGCAAAGCTTGAGGTCTAGAACCTAAAAGACTACAAATAAAAAACAAGACATCACAATTGCGTTGTTAAGCTGGCAACTAAAATTTAGAATGCACAAAAAGGTCCGTCAGAGCTCCATTAAGACTAATTAATAAGAATGTCTGTACCTCTAGGATCAGCAGACTGCTGACCAGAATAACAACAGAAAACTCAGCCGATCTTACAACTGGAAAATAAGGCCTCAGCTGGTTCTCAAAACAGCTTTACACCTTTATTATCCCCACCTACACCTTGTTTTAAGGAAACACAGGAACAAAATTACAGTTAAACAGAAGTTTCCAAATCCATCAGAAGGCTGTGCTTTTATGCCTCAAAATGAATAACCTATTTCTGCGACATAAATTGTTCAGGAATTGCGGAAGGCTAAACAGCAAATTTGCTCTTTCCACCTCTGCTAGGATTTCACAACATCCTATTTTCATAATAAAACATGCAGTGGGGAGAAAAAGAGGGTTTTTCTACTAATTTTATAGGAAGATTTCACTTTTCCATACCAACCAAGGTCTACGGAAAAAAGAGGTGCCAGTGTCTGCAGCTGTTTTAGTTCATTTTTTAGGAATCATATCAAGACCTTGCGGGATGAGACGGCACAGTCTAACACTTGCTGAGCAACAGAAGGGCAAGCAGGGCCGACTCCTCGAGCAACGCCAAAATCCCTCCCTTGGACCTGGCTGGAATCCCCCGAGCAGAGCGCTTTCACTGCCCAGCTGATCCTCCTCCCCTTCTCCTGTCCTTCGGTATTCAAAAATAAAGCAAAGTAAACAGACTCAGGGCAGCTGCCATCAATCTTCACAAAGCGGAGGAAAAGAAGTAATTGAGATTTGCGGAGGGAAAAAAGTCAGTGAAGACACCCACTAAGGTCCTTCCATCCATTGCAACCAACTATAACCAACAGACCAACATCCCGACGTGCACAAACTCGCTACTTCCGCAGGACTGCTGGAGGCGAAAGCAACCAAGGGGGAAGATAACGGCAAACCAGCTCGATCCAGGCAGCGGCTCGTGACAGCTTTCTGACCTATTTTATCCTATAAACACGTTCACCAACAGAGCGCTCTCCCAGATGCTGGAAGCAGAAAGCATAGAACATTTAATTCCTCCTGACAGGAAAATGGCCTACTTATTTGCACATAAGAGAGCATGAAAAGAAGATACTACAGAGCACAGAAGGAGAGGCACACCATCACCTGGGGAAAAGGAGATTCTTCCCTCGCATTACTTGGGTAACAGAGCCGTTCAGGAGGCAGGTTATGAATGAAAGTGAGAGCCTGGCAGCTAGCAAGAACAGTACAAAGCAAAATGCTTCATACTTCGATGAAGCATTTATTTCCCCCTCTCAAAACACTTTCCAAAGCATAATTACATATTTCAACGTCCCCAAGAGATGAATAAGCAGCAACAGTTTC